GTATAGAGGCATGAAACTGGCTTCAGCTTTGGCTTCGGTTGGTCCAGCCTGCCTCCCAGATTGGGGCCCAAGGGATGAGGATTGTCCCCCCCCCCACCCCTATGCACCTTCACATCTACATTTGCTCCCGTGAAACGAGCTACATCGGTTGAACTACGGCGGTGGCGGGGGAGGATATGCGAACACCTCGCTGCTTGCGGTAAGCTGAAACAAGGGGCAGAAAAAAATGCTCTGTATCAATGCATACTGGAGATGCGAACCGCTTTTCACACATCACCATCATCGTCATCAAAATGAGTCTGGTTTACAATCCGGTCTGCGTCTGGGGTGATCACAGTCATATTCCCCTGTGAAATAAGAAGCAGCTCGATCACACTTCGGTCTTGCCGTAGTCATGGATGAAGAAACCCATCAGAGAAGATGAATGCATTAAAAAGCAAGAGGCCTAACCGAGATAGCCATTACGCTTTTGACGTATCCTTTGTACATAGTTTGATAAAGTTAAGTACAAGTCGAGAACCATAAGTAAACGCTGCGTAATCGTACTAGTTAAACGATGAATTATAGACTAAAAGCGTGTTTTGCCTACCGGACTGTTTCCATTGTGGCTGGTTATTTTTCGCATTTAACTTACAGTTGTGAGTAGTTTTCCTGGTAAACTTCTTTTCATGCATTTTGAACAATTATCACCTAGGCACGTATTCATAACATAGTGGCACTTGGAAATCATTTCTGTTTGATTCAGTGGTAATAACCGGTTGCTTTTGTACTTGAATTGATTGCTTTCCCTCCTTGACGTTTATACGTCATCAATTTTTTAATCCGTTTCAGGGAAATTGTCTATCAATCGAGAAGCTTCTGGCCAGAACAATTACAGTCCGTGCAGAACAAGTGCTCCAGGCAAGCCGATTTCTGTTTATGATGTTTCCGTGTTCCTCTTGTCAGACGGCCCCTTTTTGCTTCATCGTTCAATGAACTTAGAGGAAAAAGAGATCAGCGACTCAGGAGACATCATACCATTCAAGTTTCGGCACGTTCGACGAATGTGTGGTGCGATGTTGGTCCTGGGTGTCGTCTACTCCCACTCTGAAACTAAATAGCCAGGAATTGAGTATAGTGGATCAATTTTCATACTTAGATAGTTGCGTGACCAATGATGGAAGCGCTGCGAAGGAGATAGCCGCTCGCATTTCTAAGGCTCGAGTAGCATACGCAAGGCTGAAACACATTTGGCGTAGACACCACTTTTCACTGAAGTTGAAAGGTCTTGTATGTTGTGCTAGTGTTCGGCCAGTTCTGCTTTGTGATCGTGAGACCTTGAATTTACGAGTAGAAGATATTCATCGACCAGAGGTTTTCGACTATCGGTATTTACGTAGTTTAGCCCACGTTGGGTGGAGCGAAAGGGTTAATAACCTGGAGGTAAGCCGTCTGGTGTTTGGAAGTCTAACAGGCGACCAGTCACCTTTATCAGGTTTCTGTCCCCAGATGTCGGACTTCTATCTTTCAATCTTCTTTTTTTCCCGACGACTGCGAAATTGTGGGACACTCTTCTCATTTCCGTGTTTCCCAGCTCTTATATAACCTTCCCATTTTCAAAAGCAGGATTAACAAATTGGTTCTTACTTGAATGTTCCCCCCACATACCTCCTCCTTACAGTATATTATTGATTATGGGGTTTACCTCTTTTGCTGTAAATCACTTCGTGTGTAATAAAAAAATAGGAATAAACCTGCTAGTGCATCGAATTTCGATTAGTGGACTTCACTGGCTAGGACACGTATTGCGTATGTCCAACCATCGTCTGCCGCACTGCGACTTATTCCCAGTTACGGCTCTAGGTTGGAAGAAACCGCGTGGAGGTCAACAGATGACGTGGAAGCGAGGCATGAAGAAATGCACAGAGCAATTAGGTAGAATCGTTGTCTCCCGTCTTCCAGGTTGGGGTCCGAAAAGCTCTGCAATCGAGTGGTTGGAGACACTGAAGGATACGGTGACTAACCGACTGGAGTGGCGTTTTTGTTGTCATTTCTTATCAGGTCAGAATGCTTGAAAGGTTATGTATGCACACTTGGATTGTGTACTCTGTGTGTTGACCATAGAGGTTCTTTTTCTTTGCCTCCCTCCAATTAGGCCCAATCCCTCTCCATCTAGTGCTTTATCACTTGATTTGTGTACATTGTGAGTTTGGTAGAGATTAGTGAAGTTCGCTTCACTGTATCGCGCTGTACGATGATGATTCATCTTAAGACGGAATTGCCTATTTTGCGAAGGCCTCGCATGTGCAGCGCACATCTAAAGCGATTTTGAATTGCGGTGGGATGAGAAATGACGTGCAATCGCTTTTTACAATTAATACAATACTGTTGGTAGGGTGATCGGTGTCTACGTATCCACCCATTTCCTTCATCGCTGTTTCGTTATCTTGTCGGTGTTCATTTTTATCTACACTCTGGATTCTCTAGAATAAAATTGTCGTCGAGTAGTCAACTTATTTTAAGACGACAAGCTATGACGATAAAAAAAAGAAAAATATGATAGAAAGAAGGTTGAATTCGGCAGCCATTGGATTGAAGACACAGTGGTTTCTTTCCTTATCATCTAAGATAAAAACTATTTCATCATCGTCTGTTTTCTATCTCTCATACTTGCACATCAATCTACCTTAGGATTTACGGCAAACTCTGATGCTACTCAGCCCGGGTCCTGTTCGTTTAGCGGATGCCCCACTTTGTTTGTACGTTCCATTACTTTGGCCCTGTCATCCGGAGGAATATTTACAGTTTCGTGTCGATCCCACTCAAGGCACGATCTCTGCCGCGTGTCCCCTGCTCACTTCAACGGAGACAGATAAACTGCTCGTTGGTCCATTCTCTAACACACAGCCTGCGTCGTCCGGATCATACGAAGGATTTTCACGCGCTTCCGTATGTGCCGCTCTAAGCGCGTTAGAATCGGCTTTAAATCAACCATCCACCAGACGCATTCTTCCCGTGACTTCTTCCGGGACGATTGTACCACCGTCAAACATGGAAACCGGCCTATTGGCCACACAAAATCGAAGCTTGCGTTCTCTATCCCAGGGCGAAGCACGCTGGCGAGCGGTCATCTGTCAAGCACTGGAACACTTACGCCTATGTCACGGACTTCTTCGATTACTCCGCACGGCAAAAGCGAATCGTCCGTTCTGGCAACCGGCCAAACGTTGTCTTCCAATTGTACTCACCCCGACTCAAATCAGCCGAGCACAAAAATCTGATCCACCTGCCTGGTCCACTGCTCTCGTCCGATTCCAGCAGTCGCTTCGATGGCCGATTGTGTTTGTTCAACTTTTGCCCAACAACGAATACTATATTGTGTGTGAGGTGACTTCGGCTCCGGCTTTGAATGTGCAATACCAATACAGCCTCCTGGTCTGTGCCCCAGTACCACCTCAGGCCGAGATCACCTTAGATTCACGGGGACTGCTAGTCTGGTCTGGAGGGAATGTGACCCAATCCACCGGAATACTGTCGCCCACCGGAACAAATCTGTTCGTACAAGTTACACATTTTGTCCCGTTGCAAGTTGGCGCACTTTTGTTCGAAAACCCGTCCACCTCAGTGAGTACTAAGTAGTGGGTGCATCATAACTAACTGATTTCCGATTCGGATTTTCCGTTTTGGTAAATCCTACTTGTGTATTTAGATACATGTATGACGATTCGGCACGAGGTTTGAAATATTCTTTTTTTAACGTTGCACATAATGTTCCGCTTATTATGATCAGTGAGTCCAGTGTTGTTCAGATTCATTCTGGGCGTTGCGGACTAATGCTGTCTGGATCGGAATTCAGTAGTAAATAGTCCTTATTATTATTATTATTACTATTATCACGATTATTTGTTCATCAACCAGGCCAAAATCTCATGAAAATGAGTGAACTGTTACAGAGCTTATTTGTTTCTATTCTTCCAGTGTTCTTGGCTTGATCGTGCAAGCTAGGAGATAGTTGACTTGATTTGACGTCACCTCAAGTGACACTCAACGGTTTCCATCGAATAGTTTTTGCAAACGCCGATCAACCATCAATTGTACCAGAGTTGAAAGGGATCAAGGATGTTCCATAAACTTTATTCAGCACACAATTGGTAAATGAGAGCTTAATTTTATGACAGAATAAAAATTGTATAGTACAATAACCTTACTCAGAAGGCACTGATTATTATTATATTTCACACTTGTCTGACAGACTGTGTGCCAAACAAATCATGATACAATAATCTTTATAAAAAGAAAATGTTCCATGATTGGCTTGTAGGCTGAGTACTGTCAGTTTGCCCAGGCCAAGGCAGATGAATTTTCTTGAGGAATCCACAACCGGGGCCTTTGGTTAGCCAAAGCCTAACCCGTAAGGCAGTGGAGCGGTGTGTGAAAACCGCAGTCCATTGGGGACCGGTGTCCAGTTCATCGGATCGTACACCCTTCGGACGGGGTCAAACGTCCAAGGTGCCCAATATACCTCGCTGCCCAATCAAGCCGGTGGCCACTACCGGGAAGGTATGTGTGGTTCGTACGCCTCCTCTTGGTTGGTTTACAATCAGGCGAGCACTCCTGCTACGACAAGATAGTGATTGAGATGTTCTCGACAGAGACAGCAACTGATATGGTTTGAGGTTACCTAATTTTCACTGAACCACTTTCAACGCCGCGTAGATCATAAGATATATCTCACAAGCAGATTTGAATAGCATCACCGAGATGCCTGTTTTTTTCCAAGAGCTATTGCATATTTTAGAGTAGCCTGCTTGGATTAGCTAACATAGCTAACATTGGTGCATCGTGAATTCAGCCTCTCTTTGTCGAATTGGCGATATTTTTTCTGTCAAACGAAGGGTGAACTGAAAATGTAGGAAGCACTATATAATTGTTTCGACCCGGTTGCATCTCACTAGTGGCGTGAATCCATCAACCCAACGGGGAACGGAACCCAGGACTTCACAGGTAATATGCAGTTACACTAACCATTCGGCCACCAGGTAACTAGACGGACGTTTCCGCCCGAATCATAATCCCGGAGGCTAGTGTTGGTATGCGCGAGGTCTGATATCCATATTAAGCTCGCCAAGGCGTGTTGTGCTATATCGTGTATGAGCCAAAATGGAAAACGGTCTGATCAGTTCTACCCGGTGGCCGGTTGGGTAGTATGCTTTCGTTCTGATTGAGTGGAATCCCTCGTCGAATCCTGAGTACAGTTCGATGGATTCGCACTGCTGATGAGATCCAAGCAGGTTCCGTGCTTCCTAGCTGTCTACGTAGTATTGCATGTGTCTGGTGGGGTAACCGGACTAGCAATGCTGAGGTCAGGCGTAGAGTTTTAGGCAGTCGCGGTCGTCCACTGGAACAAGTGATCGACCTTC